CAATACTCCTAATGTCATTAAGAACCAATCTACAAAGCAATTTCGAAAGAAAAAATTTTTTTTGAGGAAACCCTAATTTTCAAACTTCATTTTTCTCTTGGAAAACGATATACATTTAGGTTCAAAAACACCCTCACACCTTTCCCTAAACGTTTCTCAAAAAAATCTTAAACAAAACTCAAGTTTTCCCCAAAACCCCAATTTCCCTTCCTTAGAAAAACTCATGAAAAAGGAGGGGAAACACTTGCAAAACACATACCTTAGCCTACTCTTGGATTTCCCTACAATCCCCTCCACGAACGGCCGCCGAAAACCGCCCCTAAGCTCGCCGGAGACGCCTCCTACTCGCGCCCCTTTCTTCCTCTCCCGTTCGGTTCGGCCGAAATGGGGGAAATGGGGACCGAATTGTTCGGTCCCCTAATTAGAATGGGGCTCTTCTAATAAAAGCCTAATTACATCTATGCCCTTACTTAAACATCTACCATAATCAAAAGATACCAAGGGCAAAATCGTCAATAAGGGTTTTCCGGAAATCTTAATTCCCAAAATACTCAAAATTCGCTATGGGTTCTATACATCAAAAAGATCATAATTTTGCGCTCTATTTATTAAATTATTTTCGTCAAAATCTGGTGACTTTGAATTTTTCACTTAAAATTCGTCGCGGCGCTTTGAAAAGCGTACGAAATCCTAAAACGACATTTAGTGGGTTTTACAATTCTCCCTCCCTTATAAAAATTTCTTCCTCAAAATTTAAGACAAGCATTAAAGGATCATACCTTAATCAAATAGGTGTGGGTAGCTCTCTCTCATCTCTGATTCCTTCTCCCAAGTAGCATCTTTCTCAGATTCATGCTTCCACAGAACTTTAACACAAGGAATCTCTCTAATTCGAAGCTGCTTAACATCATAATCTATGATCTTCTCAGGCTCATCTACAAAAGTCAGATCTGGTTGGATATCTATTGATTCAGCACTAATCTTCTGAGCTTCATCTGAAATGTATTTCCTCAAAGAAGATATATGTAATACATTATGTACTCCACTCATGTGAGATGAAAAAATCAATCTGTAAGCCACATTGCCAACTCTCTCTGATATCTCAGAAGGGTCAACATACCTTGGACTTAGTTTCCCAACTTTGTAAAATCTCTTCACACCTTTCATAGGACTCACCTTGAGGAATACAATGTGACACCCCAGGCATCCATAGTGAAAGGA